TAGGCTGGAGTCTGCAGCTGAACAAAGCTCTACCCAACCCTGTCTTCTTGGCCCTAGGAAACCTGCTTTTATTTATATTCTTAACAACAAAACAAGTATATAACGTTGAATAAACAGGCAAATTACTCAAAATAATAAGTATGGGAAGTAAAAATTCCATGTGGTCTCACCCAACAGCAGAAATAATATCCAGAGAGGTCTGTTTATCTCAGTTTAAATGCATGAACCTGAAATGTATCCTAGGAAACAACTTACAACATAGGGTAGGGAACAAAAAAGAGAGAAACAGGAAAATGTTATAATTTCATCTTTCTCTGCAGGAGACGAATTAACACGCCAGTATTTCAGATGGAGTTCAGCACACATTCAAGAAACTTTTTTCCCTGTAGTCATATGCCAAAGTTCATGAGAACCACAGAGGATTTTTCAGTCAAAAGATTGTAAAAAGGATTCAGATGATAAATCTGATTAATTAACAAAATGATAATTTTGTTAATAAGTTCCATAACCTTCATCTTTCCACTACACGAATAAAAAAATGCCATTCAAAATGTTTCTATTCCCACAAAATTTGTAAGCTAAAAGCTTTCCTCAACAAGCAGAGGTTATTAGGTAAGTAAATATTAATATTTAAAAGAACAGAAAAATAAGTACTAAAAGGTTTCCTACCAAGACAAAAAAAAAGGTTCTATAATTCAGTTCAGTTCATTGATAGCCAGAACAGTGCACACAACTATCATTTTACCCAGTTTTCCTTACCTTGCAGTGAAATATTTTTTTCTCCTTCTGTGATAATTATTTTTGACAGTTTCACTGTTTATATGTGAAACTGAGAAACTGTTAATTTAAATAAAAAGTGAGTTACTGTTTCCAGCAATTTTTGCCAGTATTTTGATCTCTGTCAATCTGAGCTTAATGATTAAGGGTTTTTATTTATTTATTTATTTATTTTTTAAAGCAAGAGGCAAGACTCTGTGTTTGAATTTGGCCCCATACAAATAATGCACTCTTTAGTCAAATATCAGTTTAACAATACAAAGCATACTCAAAAAAGGGTTGAAAGCATGTTTAATGAACCATGGACCTATGGCAAAAATAATGAGAGAGAAAAAAATACATCTTTTTGATGAGGATGTGAGAAGTCTTTAAAGCCTTTCAGCAGACATGATTAGCTATGATACATCATCTATCACTAATGATGTTGCCAAAATCAACGTCTGTCGGCTATGAGAGGGAAGTCATTTGGAAAGCTAACCACATGTTGTAGGCAAAGGGCAAGCTCCGCACTTGGTAGCAAACTATGCGTTCTTCTGATATCTGCTGTATAAATATGTATCACAAGGAACTCATCTGTTCTTGTAAACATACTTCTTAAATCAGTTTAATTCCACTGTGATTTTGCCACAAATGGACAAACTTGCCTTGGCAGAAATATATGACATCACCATGAGACACTAGAATAACAAAAACACAAGGGAAGATTTTTCCAGGACCTTTTCTGGATCTATAATTGGTTTCTGGATTGTATGTGTAAAGAAAAAGAAACTTGATATCCAAAAAGCAAAATGTTAAACCAAAACATTTTCATTCTGGGTGTGCATGAAGTAACTGAGAACAATCTGTCTTGAGAAGTTATTTGTACAGCAATTTCAAATGGCCCTAGAAAGAGTTTACCTAGTTCATACTTACAGTTCATTCTCTAACCAGTAAAAAGCTAAAAAATATATTGATAAATAAAAATGATAAATACAATTATTTGTACAGAAGACATAGCACTTACGTTAATAAATTGTGTGCCAGTGTCATAGTTAGACTTGGGAGGAAAACAGCTTTCCTACACCACAACAAAATTCATTTCCTTTTCTTTTTCTCCTTTTTTTTCCTTCTTCTCCTTTTTCTTTTTCCATATCAGGATAGATCCAAGACCTGTAAGAAACTGATCACAAAACAAGAGGCAGGCAGCCCCATGCCTGAACAGTGCTGTTGCTCTCAGAGGTGGCAGTACTCCTCCAGTGAGTGGGAAGCTCAGCTTCAGCCTTTGTGAATCATGAAGAGCAGAAATTTGAACCAGCACCTCACCATTAAACTCTTGGCCATTTCCAAAAGCACATGCACTTTCAGCTTTACCAGTGACTTTCAAACTTCTTTTGATTTACAGGCCCCTCAGCAGAGCTCCCAACCATCTTTCACACCCAGTACTGGTTTCCTCACCATTTGTGGTGCCAATGCATAAGTTAGCGTAGCGGGCTTCCCCTCACCACCCCCAGCTAATTGCTCACTGTGACCATATCAGAGAGCACTGCACTGCTGCCTACATGTTGTTAATGAGCTGCTGCAGGGTGCCTCGAGCCCTCATCTGACTCCTCTCTCATTTTACTTTTCTCTCTAGATGCAACAATGCATTCAGTCATGATTGCTACTGCTGTCTTTAGACTGCTTTCTTGTACATGTTTTCCTGCTGTTTGTGCTGGTCTTTCTCTGGGTGTGCTCCAAGTTATCTGCACCTGTCAAAATGGTGTGTCCCAAATCATAGGCAGAGTGCCAGACAAAACCTCATCAATGTCAAGGAGAGTAGAATAATTACTTCCCAGATCTTACACATAATATTCCTGTTAATAGCGTCCCAGTGTGCCACGTACTTTTTCTATTAAAGCAGCATCATACTGGTGACTCATACTTATTTAGTATTCACTCTGAGGACAAAAAGACTCAAACCAAGGAATTAAGTATATAAAACAACCCCCACCTGAAAACTGTTTACTTCAACGAAAGATTATTTCACCAGGTCACTCTTGCTAAATTCTTCTTAGTACACCAGTAATATAGCTGGAGCAACCAGCTTATAGTTGTTAAAAGTATTTAAATTAATTAAATGACTAGCAAGGACAATTTATGTTTCCCAAAGGAATTTTGTAGGCATTTCATGTCAGATGAAAACCAGGACTTATATCCACTTTGCATAATGGACAAATCCACTGTAAACAACTAAAGCCTAATTGTGAGGACAGAGCAGAGGTTTTCTATCATTGCTGTCTTTCATGGGTAGTTTTGTTTGAAGACAAGCTATTGCTCACCTATAGGAAAGCAAAACAAAACAATCAAATAATTATTATTAATATTCTAAAAGCAGTCTAATACGTAGAGTTTGGAGTAAAAGACAGTTACAAGGATTATATATGAAAACAGACTCTGGGGCATTTTTCTGGTTAAATTAATGAAGGAATCTCTTGTACTGATACAACTAGACATATCCTATCAGCCAACAGGGTTGTAGAGCTGAAGAATATCTTTGTGAAACAGAACAGAAAAAATAATTCAGTGCCAGTAAGTGAGAGAAATAGGAACATGAAATAAATATTTTCTCTCTCTTTTCTCTGAGAAATGATAACTGAGATGGAAGAGTTTTGGTAATGGAACAACCACACATGAAAAACAACTCTTGGGAGTGTGTTGGGGGAGGACGTACAGCGTCCAGTAAGCTGCTGCTTGGCAGTGACAGAAAAGACTGATGCCCACCTCTTAAAGAAATAGAAATAAGAATGTTTAGAAATATAAATGTTTTCATGTATGCATTTAAAGATTGATGTACATGTAAAGAATTTCATGTGTATTTTTGGCATCTCATACTATAAATATACAGCAATAAAACTTTGACACCATGCTACCATATCATATACTCAGCACGGTTTCTGACAAATATATACCTTGAAGGTAGAAGAACCATTCCCTTTAGACAAGAGGAAACTTCATAACATACACCCAGGAGGTTGGGTTTTTAAGGGAGAAACAAAAAATCATTAGTTTCATGTTTGTTTGCGTGTTGTGTTTTTTTTTTTTAAAGCCTATGTATCTTTTTATGCTGTCCTGCTCCCTTCCCCCTGTCATCTACCCATGAAAACATTTGCTTAGTTATTAGCATTCTAATTGACAATCAACAATCTCTGCAATAGTTTCCTCTCATTGTACCTCATTGACTGTTTTTTTTCTGTGTTGTTTCCCAACATTGTTTACTCCATCTGTCCTAGGTAATGAGATTTATAACTATTGTTTGTTTGCACAGTGAAAATTACAAAGTTTTAGCAGGGAAATTTCATCCTGACAAATTATTTTCTGAAGTTGCCACAAATCAACCAACAAGGTGAGGCATTAGCATATCAAGAGCCCCACTTTGCCCATTTGACATCCAAGCCCATAAGGAGTTGTGCTGTGCTCCATCCTCTCCACGGGTGTACAGGTAAGGAGCAGCCTCCTGAAGGAAGCTCCTCAACAACAAAACAGTCAGTGTTTCTGTCAAAAATCCTCCTTGTTCCAACAGTTACCTTCATAAAGGGCCTTGACGCTGATGCTATTTAATACAATTCAAACTCTTACAGAAGAAAACCAAACAAAACAAAAAAGGTCCTCCAGCAAGCTGACTCTTTACTGACTCTTGGTTAAGCTTCTTGAGGATCCTTAACCATCTTGAATTACAGCTAAATTAAATTCTCTATCCTTTATCATCACATTTTTCAGTTTACAAAGAGCAGAACACTATATTTGCAATAGAGTAAATGATAACATATAAAATACAGTAATGACCTGAAGAAAACATGAAGGCAATTCAGCAATTGCTTAATGAGTTCAAGAACAAGACTGTCATCCTCAAATGCACATAACAATGGACTTCAACATTCTTTGTATTCTAATGGGAGTTATCAAAAGCTTTATTGCATTATCAAACATAAAGGAAAGATCACTTATTACAAAATAGTACAGATCTTTCTATGGGTGGACATCATTACAGTACCTTTTACAGCATACTAACAAGAAAATTTCAGTGCTCGTTACTGTAGGGGTACTTCTTTGGTATGAAAAATGAAGTAAATGTATATGTATACAATTAACACTCAGTATTATTAAACACCCCTTTGCCCACATGCTGGCTCGTGAGCTTTGTGAGCAGCAATGAATGAGCATGAGGCATTGTGACCAGTCTGTGACAGACTCTCTTTTCTCCTCAGCACACGGCAATATTGCCAGTTGCTCTCCTGGAAATCCTTGCCACACCACATCGCTACCCAGCAAAGAAGAAGGGACTGATCCTATTAGGATGTGCTGCTTTTCTTTATATCAGTTGGTAAGAATTACATATGTTGAAACATTTTCTTTGAGTAATCTGCTTTGAAAACAAGGCCAAACTCTATACTTATACTAAGTTCCCTCTCACACGTGGTAGACAATAGTCTGGTCTGTGGGTAAGTCATTTATAAACAGGTGAGATCCATGAAAACTATTTCCAGACACAGGCAGAGCAGGTTTCTTCAAACTCATTTCAGGTTCTGAGACCACACTTTGTATCTCCTGCTCTTCTGGGGTCTCTTTAGAAAGGCAGCTAAACTGCCATAAACTGCAGGGCACTTTGAGTTATTCCTGCTGGGCTGGAGTTCTCCTTTCATCTCTACTAGTACCACCAAATTTACCCCTGCTTGTTGTCTTGCCTACTGCAAAATCACCAAATCTCAAAGGTCCAGGAGTCATGGGAGAAGAGGAAGAATATCAGTCACTCAGTTTGGTATTGGCAGGGTCATGACTAGATTTAGAAACTTGAGTTAGAAAGCGATACTCAGAACCAGGTGCAAACTGACGGGTACCAAGGAGGCATCTATCCCACTACCACCTCCTACTCCATCAATGGAAAAATCTTATGTTCCCAGTGACATGACCCAATTTATCTCCAACCTGTTAAACTACATCTAACAGGGCCTCTGCTCTGTCCATAGCCCTCCATCCACCTCCTTTATGTGTCATACAGCCCTGGAGCTAGGCTTGCATCCATTCCTGCTCATAGCATTCATGCTCTAGTGCCGGGGTCCAGAAGAATGGCCCATCCCATCTAACTACAGGCAGCTGCCAACGTTTCCAACAACTTGGAGACTCAGCTCTGGAATGGATCTGTGTAGTTTCAGGGTATGCTGTGCTATCAGACAGTTTCCAGAGCTTAGGAAGCACTTGGGGCCTAGGGTGAAGGACACAGAATAACTGGTCAGTAGACAAGGGATTTGTCCTCACACAGATCTTTCTGAGAAGCAGATGGAACTGTGTGGGGATCCAACCTTCCCATTTCTGCCCATCATTTAGCTAGAAAGCATCTTCATTGCACTGAATGACAAACTGGAATAGATGATAAGCGTCACAGATGAAACACTCTTGTGATTTAAAACCTATGAGAGTAGCTTTGGAAGCAATGGACTTTAGCACTATGTTATATAACCAAGTTTGGAGCCATTTATCCTAACCAAGACCACAGCCCAATGTGGTTACAATTGTGAGAGACACGTGTTGTCCCCCTAGGTTCTTTTCAGTCAATCCTGCCAGACATCTCGGAGTAAGCTTGAATTATCCACAGGACCACCAACCTTCCTGGCTCCCCAGCGAAAGTCCTGCCTTGGCCTTGTGGGTCACACATGGACGCAAAAGCAAACTGCTAGCATGCCATGCTCACAAGACAATCCCCTCCTGCCCCAGATTTCCAGCCAGGAAAAGTTAGTGGTGCAAAAAAAAAAGTTAGTTACAGGTGGAACCCGTACGATCAGATGTTGATCTGTTGATCATCCTCCACATTTGAGTCATTGCAGTATCTTCTTTGAATTGATGTTTCATGGTGCTGCATGCATCCTGAGTTCCTTACAGTGCTTGTCCTGTGTCCCAGGACCCCAGCACCTGGATAAAAGCTCCTTAGGATTTCAGTGCTCTTGCTTTCTCTCCTCCTGAGGTACTGAAGAATCTCCCATCTCCCTTCCTTTTCTCTGCAACCAGAGACAAAAGATTTCCACTAATAGAAAAGCTTTTCAGTCTGTGCACCAAAGTCTTAACACATGTAGAAATTTTATTCTTGGTCCTGCAACCTGCTGAATAAATAGCCCCATGTGGGTGCCTTATGTTTCACAAGCAATGCAGAGTCCTCTCTAAAAGCCTCTGCTTGAGCTGTCACTGTTGTCATCACACAGTCTCCTCCCTGCTATCGGTGGGCTGAGAACTGCCAATTCCCTGCCAGGCAGTGAGAAACCAAGCAGTAGGTGACTCCTTGCACCAGGTGCCTACCTCTGAGCAAGGCTTCGCTGTAACTTTGAATATCTGTATAGTTCAAAAAATAAAAAAGGTGGTTTCCAGTCATGGAATATCTGGGCTAAGAGAACTGTTGTGCAAGTTAATTAATTCTTGCATGGATGGACCTTGCATTACCTGCTTGTATTAATGAATGCATTACTCCTGAAGTCATCACACTGAAAGCAATGAAGAATATACAAATTTTAGAACTGGCATTTTAAATCTTAGAAAGGAAGTAATAATAGCATGCCCTTCCCCATTTCAGTGGCAATATCAATTTAGTAATGAAGATCAGGATAAAATAAATATTATTCTTCACAATTGTACCTGTGTTTTTGGAGAAAAGATCAAGCTACCATTGTGAGGGAATATAAATCATTATACACTGCACACCATCTATAGGAAACTTAAATCACTATAGATTGCACATCATCAGCAAAAACCTGAAATCCAAAAAAAAAAATAAAAATTAGCCCATTGAATCTAGAGACTGATAGCTTTCTTATAATATGCCCATATTTCACCTCTGTTAGGAATCAAAATATTTTTCCTTCACTGCATATTCATTTTCAGTTCATAACCTTTGAATTTTGAATTAACCACAGTTTCAAAGAACTCATATGTGGCCAATATGTTTTCTTCTCCTTTTTAGACCTCCCATTTAATAATTCCGTAGTTTTTTGTTTGTTTGTTTGTTTGTTTTTTGTTGTTGTTGTTTTGTTGTTGTTGTTTTGTTTTGTCTTTCTTCCCTCCAGCAAAGGTGGAGCTCCCATTAGCATATCATCTTCCTTTGGTATCTATATGCTGTCCCTCAGTCCTACAATACTTTGATAGCTTTGGTTATACCCAGGCTGTTATTTCAATCTATTTTCTCCATAATTCTGGGCATTGTATAATAACTTATTGCTGTAAAATCTTGGTAAAAATAGAAATGTGGAGAAAAAATATGTTCAGAATAATAAGCCTCTGAATCCTACTTGTATGTTTAATAGGTGATTACCCACAAGGAAAAGCAATATGCATTTGCAAGTTATGGGGTGCATTTTATGAAATCCTTTGCAAAACAAACAAACAAACAAACAAAAACTGTCAATCATTCTGTGGCCAAAATAAGCAAACTCAAGAATCTGAAGATACGTCCCAATATAAAACCCTAGCTACATGCAGCTTCCACCAGATCAGAAAGCTGAAGGTGCTTTAGTGCTTCTGAACAGTCAAGCAATTTTTTAAGTTCAAACTTACAAGTTGAGGTTCTTCCTATCAGGCACTCCAGCTGTCCAAACTAGATCAAGATAATCTAGTTCCTCATTATACAAAGACATTTGTCACTCTCTGGTTTACTGTGAGAGACACATTAAGAAAATAGCAACCCCACAAGGTGAAGAACACTTGCTGACATCTGCACCTGGTCTTTCATGTTTCTGCTCAGCTTCCTCCTGGCCTTTGCACAGGCTTTTTTCTTTTTATTACTGTTTTGCAACACTATTTTTTTGGTGAGAGAACATCTCTTATATCAGGAAAATCAGTCTCTACACCTCACATTTTCATGCTCAGCCCAGACAGCTCTGCCACTAATCCCCTCCAACTCTCCAATTTACCCCTTAGCTGGGGATTAACATATCTCTCTTCACAGCCAAGGTAAAACACAGCCACTTTTATGCCCTACTCCTTCCTTCTTTACTGGAAGAAATGAGAAGCCATCTATTCAGCTGTGTGGTTTTTTATTTATTTTTTTTTTTTTTTTACCTTAGCACTCCCCAGTGTCTCATTTTGGTGAAACATTTTCACTCTGGTGGGTCAGCCAGTTGGACGCTTCACTTTGAGACATAACACTCCTGGCAAGGTGGCAGGCAGGGTGTCTTCAGGGAGAGTGGCATTGTATTCCCATCCCAGGCACACGATGGTGGTGGGTAAGGCAAACTCCACTGGTGTGTTTTCCAATCAAGAATTAAACCCTTTAGGACTTTTTTGACCCAAAGGATCTTTTTAAGAAAGTGTTGCCCTATACTAGAAACACAGCCTTGTAGCGATCACTGAAGACTTGCCATATTTTTAATATTCTTTACATTCTCAACTCAAATATATATAATTTAATCTACAGAAATAGAATTTTCTATGGTTTATATCTAGACACCATTTTAATGTTCTTAAATTCAGACACTTGCCACCAGCCACTCTTAAAATGTGTAAATAATGAAATTAATGTCAGTGAACTGGCAGCTACTACAAGACTCCTTTGGAGAGAAGAAATAGGCAGAAAGAATGGGCCTAAGTAGAAGAAAAGAAGCCCTATAAAGCAAACATATTCATCCTCATCCTCTTCTATCCTTCCATCTCCCAAATGATACCTTGTAAATAACTCTGGAACAAAAGAGCAAAGCAGGTACATCTCTTTCCCACCCACTTGTTTGTCCTCTCCTGATTTTGGATCAAGAGAAAAGAGAATTATGCTTGACCTGTTGACTCCTTCCCCATTTCTTCCCACTTCCCCAAAGAGTGTTCAACAGCAGCAGGACAGAGTAAGGAAACACACTTTTGTCACCATATACCCTCAAGATCTCAATTGGGACTGACAAGCTGCAGTAACTGAAGAAGAAGCACATGAGAGTTTATTTGAATTAGCCTCGCTTAGCATAGTGAAATGCACACCTGTATTTCCAACTATTTGACTATTTTACTGTTATTTTACTGCTGTAACAGCCAATGCCACGAGGGTTATGGCAGAACATTGTGTGCATTTCAAGCTGCACTGAAACCCATCTAATTTAGTAGCAATTCAATGTGCTTCACAGCAAATAGCCCAAATGCAGAGGAGATGTATCAACAGCTGAACTAATTTTCTCTGCATTAAGATTGTTTGGATAACTTAGCCCTTTAGTAGTTAGAAATCAACAAGTGGTTCTTCTAACTGAATGGTCCTAACCAAAGGTCATTTCTCTCATTGTCTAGGGTCCTGTGGATCCATTTTGTAACAGGAGAGTGGGTATACCCTCTCTTTGCCTCCTTCAGCCCAGCTGGGCTAGGAGCCTTTTTCATCGGTAACTTTGCCATCATCGTCTGTTTCTACAACTTTGGAGAGTTTCTCAACCGTATGATATGGGGTCAGTCCAAATTTTGTTTTTCACATCTATCTGTATGAAAAAGAAAAAAAAAAAAAAAGTCATCTACAATGAATTCCTGCGATTACTGGGGCAGGTGGGGAGAGGAGGAGGAGGACCCATGTACACTGGGGGTGGAGGTGGTGTTTGGGTGATTGAGATTGCCTGGTCCTGAGTAGTCACTAACAAACAAAACAAATCAGAGAAAGACTCCCAGCCCTCCTAAACAAACACGTGGGCCACTTTTCTCTAATATGGCTTGAGAAGCACCTCACAGCAGCATAATCACTGGATTTTGAATTCATTCTCAAACAATGGTCCAGAGAAGCAAAACACCACTGGCTAAAACTCTTACACCTGCATCACATGGTGTTTTTCAGAAAACATGTGATGTTAGTTAGGAATGGTTTACTAACAATTTATAGGAATGCATTAGCCTATCCAAGAGAAAGCACTGCAGCGTCTCTGTGGGTAAAGCAGCACTTCGGAAAGTTTTAACAGGCTGTTGAGAACATCTCCCTTTGGCTTCAGTGGTATAATCAGTAATGATTTAAAGAAAATGAGCCAGGCTATTTGAACAAGTGGGCAGTCAGAAAAAAAAAATAGGTAGTTTAGAAGGATGACAGTTGGAAGAGGAAAGAGAACTGATGAAGCGTGAGACTTTATTGTTATTATTATATTTCCTTCTGGTTGCCTCTCTTCTTTTTCATTCAAGATTAAGTTTTTGAGGATGAAAGTGTTTCTGTCAGGAAAATGTGTGTATTTTATTTAGGACAAATGTGTGAACATTTGCAATTTCTTAAACTAGATTTCTGATGAAAGAAAAAGCCCTGCAGAAACACCTCTGAAAGTAAACAAGACAACCTCCCTCTGTTCTCAGGGAGCATTTGATGCCTGATACATTTTGTGAAGTCTCACATGCCTGTCAAGCCAAAGTAGAGTGTCTGTTGCTAGTCTCTCACGATCCGTACTCAGCTACCTAAAAGCAGCAGATTGACTTTCAAATGTGCTGAATAACTTCAGTGGTTCATACCTTTGCAAATAAGATGCTAGGTCTGCATGCCCATGTTTGGAAATTTTGGCCAAATGCTATTCTTGCGTAAATATGATATATGATGAAGATTGCTGATAACTGAAAACAGATCTGCAAGCATTCTGCACTAGCTCTGTTTTAAGAGGCATTACATACATAACAACTACTACTACCAGTACTTTTTGCCCTTTCTATTTAATCAAAAACTAAGCCACCACCACAGTGTCAGTCTTACATGAGATATCAGGACTTAATGTCATTTAAGTGTCAGATTTTTTTCATCAGTGAGTAAGTATTAGTAATTTCAGGTCTCAAGTGTGCCTGATGCAACCGTTGAAGATAATCAAAATAAAAATAATTTGATTCCTAAGGTGTAAATTGACTCGGCTAAAAGTTATGCCAAGCAGAGATCAAATCAATTGTAAAAAAATAGATGCATTTTGAGCAATTGAGTAGGTAAATATATTCATGTAAGAAATATATTAATTCAAGAGATTTCTAGGAAACTGGAGCAAACACACAATTTTCTTTTCTGTGCACACAGAAAGGCTGAAAAGCACTCCCAGTTGTGATAGTATTAATGTAACCTCAGAGAATATATATGAGCACAGCGTACATATATCCTCCATCAATGTCTGACGTGCTCTCACAGTCCAGGGAGGCTCTCTGTGTGTGGTGGATCCATCTGTCCATGTATACTTGTATTTTTCTCACTGCTTTAAATGTATCCTCAGCTCCTTACCTCCAGGACTGATGGCATTCTCTAGGCTTGCTGTACACCAATACAGAAAGCAGCAAGCTGCACCCCAATATCTGGCCACTCCATGGTATCTGAGCCTGCAGTTTGATAACTTGGGAGCTTTGGGAGCAATAACATCTCAATAAGTTCCAGCCCACCACTCCCCACTCTTTCCTACTCCACCATAAATGCCTGTTTCTGCAGTGGTTGTTTTTAACTCAGATAATTTTCCTGATCCATTTCCCAGCTGTGTCCACCCAGGAGAAAAGCAGCACTTCCTTAAGCTGGTATTGATAGCAAGATCCCAATAGTGTTGAAACACAGCCAGAGCGAAGCCATTCCAAATTACAGTGTGCCAGAGTCTTAATATATTCCTGACTGAGACAAATCTTCTGCTCAGCATTGCCAGAGTAAAAACAGCTGCAAATAGAATGAAGATGCAATTCCAACATACCTTTCTTGCAGCAAAAATGCCTCTATGCACTTTTTTTCATTCTACTCATTCCCACCTCAACTTCCCATCCCAGTGGGAAAGATAATACAGCTAAAATAACCCTGTGGAAAAAACACACACAATTAATAATAATAATAATAATAATAATAATAATAATAATAATAATAATAATAATAATAATAATAATAATAATATGTTGTGGTGCTGGGAAAGGACAAAGCCCATCTGAGCTGTTGTGACCACCCTTTGCCCCAAAGGGAAAGGCTCAGGGGCACCTACTTCTTTTTCTTCCCTTCCCACTTAAGGGAATAAAACTGGCTGAGATTGTGCCCACAGTAACTGAGATAAGCTGTGTTTATTCGAGGATGCTCTGCAAGAGCATCAAACCTGATTTCCTGGTGGACTTCTATTCTGTGGAGGATAGTAGGCTGTAAATGGAGCTTGTCCTGTGTGTGCTGTGCTCTGTAAGGACTCTCCTCCATATTCTTTTGTAGCCTCAGGCCACTACCACTTCTGCTAAAACAAAGAGCACCAGCTACAAATGTTTATTTTTTTTCAACCCATAAAGGTATACTTAGCTCCAAATTATTGCAGAGTCCATGGATGGCAGCTTCCAGCTTTGGGCAAGGAATTTTTAAAGTTATGTCCTGTGCACCACCAAAAAGATGCAGTATCATTTCTGAAAGCAGAAAATACAGTTTAATAATATAACCTTGTTTTTCCTTTTCAGAACAGCCAAAAGATGCTGGACCCTAAATTTGTTTTATTATTTATAGACAAACTGTTTCATATAGTATTAGTGGTTTTAAAAATGTATTATTTCTCATTTGCCTTTCCCTCCACTTGCACAGTTGGATTCATGGTAACTAAGGCAACCCAGCTGCACAGGCTGAGAGGCACAGAATATAGTACCATGTAATGACATTTTTTTTTTTGTTTTAAATCCCAGAGTTTCTAGAGTACTAGACAATGTTGAGCAATACAGAAACTCCAAAGAGGATAATTGGAAACAATGGGCTGATTCTTTCACTGCCATAAATTTACCTCAGCCAAGAATTTGGCTGTAGGGCCTGAGTACCAAAGATGTACGGTGTGATAGCTTCTCTTGTTCCCTACGGGTAGAAAACTTCACTCAGGCAACTGATCTCACATTACTTTGACCAGCAAAACTGTAACCCTCTAAAACAAAGCAAAGCAAAGCAAAGCAGCTTTACCTCAGGTTTGGCTCCTGGTGACACAAACAGATCCGCAGGAGACATTCAGATCAAAGTTCTCCAAATCAGACAGAGCAAAATTTCATATTTCTTTGGCACCAGTGTTTGAAGCTGCAGGGGATTAATTTGCCTTTTGTCTAGCAGACCTGATAAAACATTCAGCAGCTGCTTCATTTCAATATTTTGAAATGCAGGGTAATATGAGCAATGGGTGAACAACTAGCAACAGCTTCCCGCTCTGCAAGTGATTTAAATGCCTGCTGAGGGACACCTTGCAAATCACTTGCAAGGTTTTACACCCACAAGGTCTCTGCCAGATCCAGAGAAAATGTTCATCCCCAAGGACCTCTTCCCAAATTGTCCTCTGGGTGAGAACCTCAGGGCAGAAGGGAAGGCTGACTGTCAGAGCAGGGGCAACAGCTGCAGCAATCCCAGCAGCCAACCCCAACCCTTGCGGATCACTTTTCTCTGCAAGGGAAAGCTTTGGGCAGCAGCTGGCTGAGAAACACCAAGGACAGGGCAAAGCCAGTACTAACAATATTTCTAAAGTAGGGGAGGCAATCTGGTATATTGCAGTGGATAAGGCAGTACAATGAGGTTTGCATGAGCAGCAAGAACAGTTGCTCTCAGGAAAAAGTGGAAACCTAAAGCGGAATACATTTCTCATGCTCAGGGCATGCATGGATGTGCTCTTTCAGATCTTCTAGGAGTTCCTGAATATCTTGGAAAGACTAAGCTGAAATGTATTCACTCAAGGCTGAACTGAAGTTAGAGAACAATCTTTTCTTGAACATATTTTCCCTCTTGTTTTTGAAGTACTTTTGTGTGAAATGCATTTTACAGAACCACATAACATGTTTTACCAGCTGGTTGTTTTCCCTGGGTTTTATTTTTGTACGTGTGAAACCAAGCTCCCTTAACACCAAGTGGCCATCTATTGGGAAACCCAACCTGTATAATGGCAGATGTGTCTGTGCAAAATAAAGTAAAATCATAATGCAATCAAATTCTTGATGCTCTCATTTTCCCAGCAGCTACTGAGTTGAGCTTGCAGAAACCCAAGTGGCAAAGAGGGGATGCAAAGGGTAGCTGTGTAGGGTGAGAAGTTATTCTACTGGTGTGTTGGCACAGACTTATGAACAGCATGTTTTGTATGAACATTAAAAAGCTCATGTTCCACAGGTAATTACCAATCTAGACACAGAATCCACCCTTCATTATTACAGTCCTCTTACTTCTTTACAGTCCAGCAGGGATTTTTAAACAGAGCCTCCTTAACGGAATACATTTGTTATATCTTGCCTTTAAAAACAGAGTATAACAGTCCAGGGTGTATCCATTTCTTTCATTGAACTAATAATGTTTTTGTTTATAGTATCACTATATTGCCAGTGACGAGTGGAATTCAAGTTTAAGAGGATTTAACAGCCCAGAGTTTGCAAACCACATACAAATACTTACTTTTGCCTCATCCATTCATCTTTGTTGTGCCACAATCTCATGATAGCATATTTATATCTTTCATATTTGTCACTCCCCTAGGCTGCAGATTACCCCTCTGGCACAGGAATCCAGCTATTTAAAGGAAACCTGCACCAGCTGTCACATGCCCTAGCGGTGCTGACAAGTTTATCTGATGATCCACTGGAGGAGGGAGGGGGACACATTGGCAGAAGCTGTGGCTACCCAGGGCTTACATTTTCATCACTAGGGACCCGACATTAACAGGTGCTTAGTCCTGTGTGTCGTTCCCTTTCCCCCCCCCCCCCCCCCCCCCATATCTTTGTTCTGGTCAGCATAAAATACACGATCATTTAGGAGGAAAGAAATGCTGGGACTTTGTTGCATATCAGCTCAATTGCCACATGCAATGCAGGCTGGAGATAAATAAAATACAGCATTTACTGTGCTTCAGAGCCTCTGAGCTCTATAGACAAGGAAAGCACCTTTAAAAGAGGGTTCGTTGTGAGTAAATTGTCATCAACAGGGAAGAAGAAAGGCTGATACAGTTTCAGATGATAAGGGTTCCCAAACATACTGGGTTATTTTCCACACTTGGTGCCCCATGGCAGCACATTTGGTCTCTGACTCAGAAAGCTGTGTCTGGCAGTAAGTCCTGTGCCATCCTGGCCAGCCATGTGAGCTCCAGACATACTAGCTACAGGGTTTAGTATCTGCTGCCTTTTCAGACAAGCTTTGATTCTTTTCATGTATCCTTGCACCAAACTAGGTTTGCTTGGTGGCAGATACTTTTTCCAGTAGCAAAGCACCATTATTCTCAATGGATGTGGTCCGTGGTAGATCGGAAGTCATTCCTCCAGAAACTGAGCAATCCTTCACTTGTCAGGTAGTCCCAGGCTCACTTGACTTTTGCAGCACTTTAGACACTAGCAGCTGGTCCAAACTGCCTTTCTCCTAATCTCAGGCAGGTTCAGTTCCCCAGTGCTGCTGACAGGCTGGGGACAGGTTCACATCCTCTGCCCAACAGCATGTTTGATCTATAAAAGGACTTCGTATTCTGCCTTTTTTTTTCTTTTTTCTTTTTTTCCTTTTTTTTTTTTTTTTTAAACAATCTGTTCTCCTCTGCCTTGGAACAGGAGATTCAATAGTAATACTGGACTACAAGCAGAAAAGCAAGTGAATGCTCCTTTTCAAGCCAATCTCTCCATGAATGCTGAAGCCATGAAGTAGAGGAAAATAAATGCAGCCGCGATAAATCCTTTCTCCAATGCACTGCAGCTTCTGGTGAAGCCATTATGTCATCAGATGTATGGAAAACTGGTGGAAAATATGAAATGTTTGCCTCTTACATGATAACTCCACAACTGCTATGAATCAGAAAATGGTGTTACACACATTTTACGTCTCTTGCACAACATACATCAGGATGTGTCCGTGGTTAAAACTTGTCACTGGTAAACAAACTCCCTCACAAGCTTGGCACTGCTTGGTGAGGGACCTGTAAATGCTAGCCAGATCTTGTTTGGATTGCCCTTAATCAGGTCTGAAAAAAAAATATGAGGAGGGATAATTTTAACACTGCTGTGACTTCTAGGCTAGATAGATAACAAATTGGACTAATAAGGACTGCAATTTGGAATGTCTGCTCAGAAAGTTCACCATGAAGCCAGATTCTTCTAATGAGAAACATTCTGGAATACTAATGTGCATAATATCTCCCCTCCATTTCAGAATGAAATCTGAAGGCAACACTTTTTTCAGATAATTTTGCAGCAAAAGTAACCTAATTATACTGACTGTATGATTGCTTTGACAGAAAGCATGTTAATTTAAAGCAGTGTTTAACATAAAGCTGCCTGCCATATAATTACACTCCATTCACATGTTTACTAATCTTGTTCAATATAGTTGATTTCTGTTATTAGCCCCAACATCTTGTTAACATCTAAAACACTGGAGATGTGCTTTGTAAACTCCAATAAACAGGCAAAACTGACAGTAGTGGAAGTGTTCTTTAATGTTCAATGTGAAAAAAGAATGATCTCTTTTTATATTTAAGATTAGCATTGCATTTAAATGAGGATTTGAAACTAGTTGCAGTACTTTGGTGTCTAAACTCTATCTTCATTGCCAAAACCCATAGCTTCTGTGTATTCAGTTCACTGGAGTGTTATTTTCATCTTTTTAATGCTGCTGTAGCTTAGCAAAAATGAAACACATTTTAAGCTGCCTGTGAGCAATGGAAGAAATTGTGTGTACATAAGATTGTTCTCCTCACCTGTTAAGCACCTGATAAAGTTTTAGTCTGTGTACTTGACACACTAGGACTAACCTGCAAAGTAAGTTAACTCAGTGAGATGTACACATTCAGCAGTTCTCATTTTATCTAGGTAACTCACTCCAGCTACCTTTGCAAAGGGAATACAGATAATTACACCCAGCTTTTCTGTTGAAGTTGAACGCGAGTATGGAAAGGATCCAGCTGAAAGATGCTGGTCAGAGAAAATATTTCAGAGAGGCAGACAGATGAAAACCATGAAATGAATTAGGGAAGAGGAGAAAGTTCAGGAGATTCCTTATATGGTCGCATTTTATTATGGTTATTATTTTTGCACTGATAGTCTAGTGCAAGCTTTTTAAATGTCAGAAGCTCAAAACAAAGCCTGATAAAGGGGCTGGTTCTTTCCCCATACCTTCAGCCAGAGAAGCTGAAGGGCAAACCTGAGTTCTTGTTTGTGCTGTGATTAACTGTGGCATCTGAGGCTGAAGACTTTCTTGATGGACTGCAGAAGTGTGAGGAGGATTGCTTCTTGCTTTGGAGAGGACTCAGGGAAGGCTTTGTTCTCTGTTATGTTCTGCATGCTGCTGGAGAAGGGGGAAGCTGGGTCTGAGTTATGTGCTTTGAGCAGGAGTTCAGGAATGCTTGTCTCCAAAACGCAAGTGCTGGTATCTCAGGTTGCTTTGCTCCTTTCTCTCTAACACACATGAAACTATGCAAGGAAGAAAGGATATATTGTTGATCACAAACAAATATTTCCCCCCTGATTTCAAAAAGGCTTTACTGATGTACACCAAGTAAGGATCTGGCCTTTATGACATTTACACTAGATTTCTCTTTCTCATTTTGTTTTGAGTAAGCATGCAAAGTCAGTCAGAACTGTTTATATATAGAAGCAGATTTTCATGGCTGTATGAATTAGAAGTTATTACTGAATGAGATGCCTGCCTACTCACACAGTGCAGCTGTATAGGAATCCTTTCATGCTGCTCCACTGTACACAGTCTAGAATGGGAAGAAAATTACCTGCCCTCAGCCAAACAAAAGGACTGCTGCTCAGACCCTTGGGTGAAAACACAGCAATTAATTTTTTCCTCTGTACAATGTGGAGTATGACAACCACAATTACCTAACACTCTTTAGACCTGCCACTTTTTTTTGTCAGAGGGAGAAAATGAAGGTTTAAATTCACTAGAGAGAAAAAAATCAAACAACAAAACCATACACAAAACATATAACCTACTGCTGGACTTTCTTTTTATAAAATTGTTTCTTTGTTTGTTTTGTTTGATAGTATGGGATAGATAGAGGAAAACTGATTGTTGTATGTGACAGAGCAGCTCCAGCAAATATGGACTAACCCCATATACTCACCCAGAGTTATTTCCAGCAGAAACATCTAGAAACCAATATCTACCATGTTGAGGAGCTTTCACTCCAGTGCACACCTTTGTAACAGTTTACTCCTGCAAAAAGCATAGACAAGTGCTAATTTATTCCCTCCCCAATTTCCAACACAGCTTTCTTGGTCTGGGTCTCTGCCAGGGCTTCAGGGTCACAATCTGACCTCAAAAACATAACTTAGGGCTGTTCCAAGCCTCCAGTGGAAGTTGCTGAAGATTTACTTTGATGGATATGGGGCCAGGATCTGGCATGCAGGAAATATGCATTTATGTTGTACCAAAGCATCTAAAATAGTTGCCCAGTGAGGTTAAAATTCAATTGGAGACCTTGCATTCACTTGGCAGAGCACGTAATTAAATAATTTGTGCCACAGAATTAACCAGCAGCTCTCAGGGGTATTGGAAAGAGAAGGCTTTTAGTCAACCCTGAGAGCCAAACAAAGACCCATTTCCCAGGCAAGGTATTCGATAGCCATTGGAATAAAGCAGTCACGTTCATCTGTGGATGGGATCGCAACCCTTTTTGTCAGCATCCATCCCTGCTGATCGTCTGCCCGCCCTCACCGTTGCCCAGCCTACAGCTGCGCCTTGCCGAGCACCGGGAGCCACCTTTCTTCACCTGCTCCCCTCCCAGCAAAGGGGACCCTGACCCGGCACCCTCACTTCGTGTCGGCTATCGACACCGGGACATTGTAGAGGTCAGACATTTTGGCTCTGAGGCGCCCCGGCGCCATCTTGTGGCCGCCCTGCGGTGCAGCCCCGGCGGCAGCGTTACACCTCCTTGCCGGAGGTGTCGCCTGGATGCAGCAGACAAACTGTCCCCCGCCCCGCACAAAAAAAAAAAAAAAAAAAAAAAAAAAAAAAAAAAAAAAAAAAAAAACCATGTTTTGCCCCACTGTGCATCGTCTCGCACACAGCAGCGTGTTATTAAGTCAAAATCACAGGGATAATAAATAGAAAGTGTGTCTTTTCGGTGAACACAGGCAACCAGGGAGGTGATCATCCTTCTGTGCTCTGCTCTGGTGAGGCTGCATCTTGAGCACTGTGTTCAGTTTTGGATCCCTCAGTATGGGAAGGACATGGAGGCTCTGGAGCATGTCCAGAGAAGGGCTATGAAGCAGGTGAAGGGCCTGGAACACAAGTCCTGTGAGGAGTGGCTGAGGGAACTGGGGGTGTTCAGTCTGGAGAAGAGGCGGCTCAGGGAAAAAGACCATACTATTCTCTACAACTATCTGAAAGGGAGTTCTGGGGAGCTGGGGGTCCGCCTCTTCTTGCAGATAACTAGTGATAGGACAAGGGGGAATGGCTTCAAGTTGCTCCAGGGGAGGTTTAGGGTAGAAATTAGGAGACATTTCTTCTCAGAAAGAGTAGTCAGGCATTGGAACAGGTTGCCCAGGGAAGCAGTGCTTTACTGTCCCTGGGGGTGTTCATGGAAAGGTGGGACATGGTGCTTAGGGACTTGGTTTAGTGGGTAACACTGGTAGTAGTAGGGTGATGGTCAGACCAGATGATCATTAAGGTCTTTTCCAACCTTAATGATTCTATGATGTAACAGCACACAACAGGAAAGAAACAACATTAATAGAGAGCATTATTTTTATGCACAGTCTTAAATATATATGTTTAAACAGATATTTCCAAATAATTTTGACCTCAAATTGTACATATCATGAAATGGATCTCAGCCTTGGGAGGAACAGCACCTAGGCTCTAACTGCAACATCACTAAAGCAGTTGCCTTGTTGCCAAACAATAGCTGTCGTTCCTGAAGTAGCTAGCCAAAAATAATATGATGTGCAACTGTGTTCCCACTGTTGTTCTTGCAAGAGTACTTATTTCCAGAGTTGGCTGGGGATGGTGAACAACACAAATAAACCAAGGACGACCAGAACAACTTGAAAAGCATGTAGAAACAGGCGGAGTAGGAATAACATAGTTAGTAGGGGATGAAGGGGATGAAAGAGGATAAAAACATTTATACCAAAAGTTAGTGAAGAGTTTTAAGTTAAGCAGCTGCTTTTATGTTGTTACATAGGTGAAAGCAGAACACAAGTATTTAGGTGCTCTGCTTGTGTGCAGATTTGTGAGAATTGTCTATTAATCTTGAGCACGGTAGTTGCACACTTGCACCTTAAATGTTGCTTTTTGGCTCTGATTTTAGAGAGAAAATGAAATGCAAAGAGGAGAAAATATACAGAAAGCTGAGGTACTTTTCTCCTTTAGCTTTTCTCTCCCGCTCTTCAACTTTTACTATGACTTTGCCAGTGTTGATTCTCAAGACACAAATTTGAATGACTGTGAGGAACCATAAAAAGGCTACCTGGCCTGGCCTAGGGGAAAAAAGTTACTTGAAGGCAAAATATCTGGACATCACTAGCATCACAGACATGTAGCTATATACACATAGCCTCTGGCTTGTAGGAGGTCCATATTGAATTCAGAACTTCACAGAAAAGCATACAGGAAAAGAAAAAAAAAAAAAGTGAGGGATGTGGGTGGAAGGGGTGTTGTTCTAAATCTCTTCCTTAGTAACTGGTAACTGAACTTATTTGCTACCTGTACCGCAAAAAATACCCATGAAAGATTGGCTTAGTTTTTTTGCTGTCAATAGTCCAGACAATGGCTGAGGCATCTTGGTCAACCATGGGAACTTCTGCACATTTTCTGTACATTTCTGGATATAAAATAAAGATGACAGTGCCTAGACTATCAATCTACCTTCCATCAGGAATACATTTATCTCGTTGATGAAGAACACCATGAAAGAAAAGACAAATCCACAGTTCATGGTGCAAAAATTTGATTTTCAAAGTCTTCATCTGTATTTCTACTTCTTGTCATCAGACTCAGTCATCCAAAGTCTCAGTTCTAGACTCCGACATAAACAGAGACAAGAACTTTGACCTAAGTTCAGAATCATAAGTATAGGAAAACCAAAATGGGCTAGAAGAAATCACTTCAACTCTCTCAGATAAGAGCTATTTTTATTTTTAAATTATAGTTTGAGTTTCTGGCAAACCCTGACGCTGATTTCCATGTAATGCTTGCCAAGTATACCATATTTACTAACCACAGTATGTTTATTGCTGACAAAATGCTGCACATGCTTGCTATAATGGGCCCCTGTTTAGCCATTACTGGGTATTTGATAAATGATCTGCAGTGTTAGAAGGTCACAGAAGAATAGCAGAGAAACACTAAAAAACAAAAATTAAGGGGAAAAATGTCAGGCACCCAGTGACCAGAATGACTGGACTGTGAGAGAGACTCAGCTATGCTCTCTCTTTAAATGTGAAAATACCTTATAAGGGAGAAAAATA